ATCTAAAATCAGTAAAATTCACATAATAAGCTAAAAAGCTCCGTAGTAACTCAAAATCACCAAAGATTTAAACACAAGGCCAAAAGAACTAATATGCATAATCAGTTCGGTCAATAAAATTAATCTCATCAATGATTAGTTATCGTTTGTAAAGCCCAATATGGTCAATAATAAAAGTAGAGAAATCATTATAATGAATATAAGAATCAATAATGAGCATGAGAATCAGTAAATTAGCAAAACATTGGTATTATAATAATTCAAAGTTAGTGGAAAGAATCACAGGAACACATTTGTTATCAATCTTATCCTCTTAAATTCATCCTATCAATGATATGTAATCAATACTAGTATTCATTCATATGTTATCTATCTACACATATTACTTCTCTATCTATCAATGCTATCACCATATGAATGCATCACGATATGGTTTATATTGAATTTGAAAGGTTAAGATTGAATTTGAGTAATTATAATGGAATGCTAAGATTTTATTTGAATGTAAACTCAAGCATGTTTTATAATAGTTATTATATAGATTTATAATAGTAGAATATATAGTCACTACAGGAAAACATGCGTTTACCGGCGGATACAATTGCGTCGGAACACACGGCGCCTGCAGCGGCGCATAATACGAAGGAATATCTACGGCGTAGTTTCCGACACATATGACGCCGGTAACATACCGACGGATATTGCGCCGAAAAATACGCCGGTTAATAACAACAATTTATTTTTGCGGTGCACTTTGCGGCTGAAAAGTACCGGCGCAATTACCGGCGGATAAAACGTCGGCGTATTTAAACTCAATGACTTAGGACTAACGCATTTTGCGCCAGACATGTTTCTGGAGTCCGGGACGCCGGAAAATCCATCGGCGTAAACCCTATTTCCGAACCCAAGCCCGACGGCTGTTCATTTCTTTCGTTCGTTTCTCTCACCAATTTTTCTCTCCCTCGTCACCCTCCGTCCGCTCGCCGTAGATCGGCGTCGCCGACTGATCACCGGACGTCGCCAACGATCACCGCATTCGTCACTGGGGAAAGCACACTTTTGACCGTGAGTTTCCACCTCCCTCCTGTTGCCTCCCTCACATCGCCTCTCTCCCGTCGCCTTAGGGTTTTTTTTTTTTTGTAATTTCTTTTTAAACATTAGATTTATGGTTCATATTGTAGATGTTTTTTGTTGAAAAATTTTGCAAAATCAATTTGGATTCATGCCGGGTATTTCTATTATGGAAGCCATACTTTTTTGAGAGGTTTGATGGAGAAATATAGAGAAAGTAAGGAGGATCTACATATGATTTTTGTTTATTTAGAGAAAACATATGAGAAAGTGAAATTAATACGGCGAACTTACGACGTCTTATGCGCCGGTAATGTCCGGTGGATTAATATGACGTAAATTACCGACGTATTCGTCGTCGGAATTAGCATTTGAAAATCGTAGTCTTTTATGTCAATTTTTGCGCCGGAATGTTTTCCGGCGCATTACAGACGTCGGTAAAGATTTAGCGACGCACGCCAAACTGGCGCATGGAAATCCGACGGAAATGCGTCGGAAACTGAGGATTTCCGTCGGATTTAAACGGTTACCGGCGGATACTGTCCGTCGGTAATGACGTGTTTTCCTGTAGTGAGTATAGATAATTGACCACTCTAACTTAAGAGAGTGAAATTAAAAATCATAATGCATTAAATGTAATTAAGGGTATTTGGAAGAATATAATATTTGATCAAGGTGTTTTTAATGTAAGCATAGTGCAATTTGTATGCATTAAATGCAATTAAGGGTATTTGGAAGAGTATGACATTCAGCTTCAGCGAGGAGTTCCGTAACGGGGAATATGATGGAGTTTCTTAACTTAATGTATGATAACAACTTGGAAAAAAGAATAATTGGGAATTATAATAGCGACAAATGAACGATTAGATTTAGTTTGAAAAGAATAGCAATATATGACTATGATTTCATTTGGGAAGAATTTCAACCCAAACATATAAAGGGGAAATAGTTTCTTACAAATTCCAAAAAACAAAATTGTATCCTTGTTTCCCTCGCAAGTAGGAGAAATTATTCTATGTGGAGTTTGAATGTAGCTCTGTGTCTGGACTCCAATAAAATCATGGCATCAGGATTATACACGTGGATATTAAATTATATTTTGCATTTAGTTTTTGTCTTGCCAGCCCAACCGACATAGCCCAGAAATTACTTGTTCCAATTTAGGGTTTAGGTTGTGGCTCCTTTTTTAAATGAAAATGCACGTGAAAGTTTCGTAATATTTAGGATTTTATCTCAATAAACTTTTGATACTTGCTTAGAAAGAAGAAACATGGAAAAGCCGATGAAGATGAAAACTGGCTTGGAGGAGGATGTTCAATCTTCGAGCAGATGATATAAAATTTTTGTAAATCAATTATATAAAATTTTCAGTGATATTTTTGTTCATTTGAAAGCTTTATGAGCTTTTTCACATATGTGTATTATAGAAACTAAGTGGGAAATGTGCTTTTTACTGTGTCTTATTTTGTATTATTGTTGTGAATTTCTATGTATTGTTATTATGTACTGTTGTATATTGTTGTCTATTATTATAATATATTATTATGTACTGATGTGTATTATTGTTGTGTATTAATATGTATTGTTATTGTGTAATGTATGTACTAAGACATACTGTTGTATATTGCTGTGTATTATTGTGTACTGCTGCATACCGCTGTGTACTGCTATGTATTATTGTGTACCGCTGTGTATTTATATTATTCAAGCTTATATGAACCACATAAACTTTGAATCTAACTGAATTCATATATAACAAATAGTAAGCTTCATAAATAGGTGACTCTCAAATTTCCTAGAAGTTGTTCCATTATTATTATGTCATGATTAATCTTAAATGGATTAATTTCATCATAATATTATTGAAGCAGCAGCACTTTCCTATTTCAAGAATTCTGGGAAAGGGAGACTTTATTGATAGTCTTAACTCTTAAGCATTACCTGAAGATACAAGTCAAAAAAGAAAGCGCATTGATTTTTTTTTTTTCATTTTTCATGTTAGAATTCTTTAATTTTCAAGTCATAGCTTCCTAGTAACTTCATTTTTCAATCCTCAACCATATTGACATATAGTAAATAACTTTTCAATTGTGTTTTAAAAATTTTACTGTCTACAATGGTATTATGGCTTGGCTCCTCATCTCACATTCTAGTGGTGAAACTCCATTACAACGGTACACAATAGCGATATACAAAATCCTAAACACAATACAAAGTACTATATAGTATTACATAACATCAAAACGAACAAAAATTAACATATCAAACACAAGCAATATATTGATTTCAACACAAATCAATCAAAAGTATCAGCTTAGAATATCTAAATTCAAGAGCTTGCAAAAAAATGTAGATTTTTGTTGTTGTTGCAGAACTACAAAACAACTAAACCACCAAGCCAAGCTACAAATGAGAAAATAGAACATTTAGTAAGTGGCTTAAAGACACCAAGGAACAAAAGGACAAGGTGTATGCTCAAAATGCACAACTCAACGCTTTCATATCCGTCGCCATCCTCATTGCCGCAGTGTCTGCCATTGTCGCCGCCACTGCAAGCGCCGCTTCCATGGAAGATGACTGTGCATCTCACACCAGCCACACCATTTCCTCCACTGCACTCCCATGGCGTGTAGTGCATTGAGGCTGTCGAGGCTCTTAGGGCCAAACGTGGCCACCTAGCCGCCATCGTCGCTTCCGCCCTCAATGTCCGAACTACTGGCGACATCATTGCTCTCACCACCTCTGTCGCTGTAGGGAATAAAAAGTTTTGTTATTCTCAAACAATTTAGTGTGATATAATGTGATAAACTGTTCTTAATGATAGCGTTGAGAGGGAGCATAACCATTGAAACCATGAGTTTTTAAGTAAATGTGGAACATCGCCGCCATTATTCCAGTGGAGAAGGGAATTTGGGCCATCCGAGCATCCATTCCGATGAAGAAGCTAGGGGTTTAAGCTGGAAGGCCATTCATAAGATGGAACATTTAAATACTATGCTTAAGTATGTTTATTAAAAAATAAAAATAGGCAAAGTCGTCTGTTAAACGGACAACTTACTAGTTCAGTCAAATTTTAAAAAAATTAAAAAAATAAAATAAAATTACTGTAGCAAGTCGCCTGTTTGTACAATATTATTTTTATATTAAATTATTTCAGAAATTTTTAATTTTTAATTTCTCACTGATACGAACAAATAAAAATTTGTTATATTTACATAAGTTTGCGCATTTTATCCACCGCTCATCTTAGCACGTCCTAAAAACATTTTATATAAATTTATTTTAATTTCGAATTTTAACGATATTTTTAAATATTTAAATCAAATAAATTTACTAGTATTCATAAAGTTAACTACTTTAATTGATGAAAATATTTAAAACATTTTTAATATTTTAAAATAAAATTTATTTGCTTCAAATTTATATATTTTTAATGCGGATAATTCTCCAAAAAATAAAATAAAATAAAAGGCAAATATTTGTTTGAAAAGAAAAGTAAGGAGAAAAGACTATTGGTCATGTATGAAGTTCATCTTAAAGAATTTTATGAGTTCTGCTTAGTTTTTGTTTTTTAGATAACATGCTCAAGCACGGAAGAGTATATTAAATGTCTCTTTTTTTTTTTATAGAAGTGCTGAGATGAGCAGTGGATAAAATGCGCAAACTTATGTTAATATAACATATTTTTATTTGTCCGTATTAGCGATAAATTTAAAATAAAAAAATTTCTAAAATAATTCAATATAAAACTAATATTGTAGTAATTTTATTTTTTTAATTTTTTTGAATGTTGACTGGATGTGACTAGAGATTAGTAAATTGTCCGTTTAACGGATGATATTGCCTATTTTTATATTGCCTATTTTTTTTTTTTTTTTAAATATGATTAAACTCTTAATACAATTTATAATCATGATTATTCTTAAAATTTTCCCTTTCCCCGCCAGCTGAGAGCTCCCCATCCGGCGTTAGAAGTTCTCCAGTTTTTTAGAGCCTCCAACTCCCGGCAGCATGAACTCCTTAGGCCTTCCTCTTCCGAAGCCCCATCTCTCGCACCAAACCCTAATTTCAAATTCCAAAACCCTAATTCCATTCCAGCAATGGCGCCTGCGCTCCCAATCCTCGAAGGGCTTTCCCTTCCTAAGACGCAAGCGCACTCGAATCCATGCGACCACCGCTCTCCTCCAGCGTTCCGAGCACGACGTTGTCGTCGTTGGCGCAGGGATCATCGGACTCTCCATAGCCCGCCAGCTGCTGCTCGAATCAGACCTTTCCGTCGCCATCGTGGACGCCGGCCTGCCCTGCTCTGGCGCAACTGGCGCCGGTGAGGCGCGATTCTTCAGCTATTGTTTGGTGATCTTGTGGTTTGCTATAGAGCATTGTGAAGTGCCGGTCTTTGATTGATTACGTTGGTGACTTCAGGCCAGGGGTATGTTTGGATGGCGCACAAGACTCCTGGCAGCGACATTTGGGAGCTCGCAATGAGAAGCAAGTACTTATGGGAGGAGCTTGCGGAGAGTTTGCAACGGAGGGGATATGATCCCTTGCAAGTGCTTGGGTGGAAAAAAACTGGTATGTTCTTCCATTCGACTTTTATTTGTTTGCGAAATTTTGTTTTAAGATTCTTTTAAATTGTCTTAAATATGAATGTTTTTTGAATATTTAGCATACATACCACAAAATTTGAATGCGCTTATATATTTAACATCTAAATCTTTATATTTACTTATATATTTTGGTATCTAAATCAGGTCAAGGCATATGCACGAGACCGAGTGTTTTACTTTAAATTAGTTAATATTAATAGCATTTTTTATATAATTTAGAGTTGAGTATTACATGAATGTAAACATTTAAGATATTAGATACGTGGATACATAAAAATTTTATGTTATGCATGTATATCATTCGTTTTTATGTGGGGAGAGGGGTTCAATTTATTCAAATTAAATCTTTGTGTATTGTTGATCATTATCCATTCGAAGACTATCACAGTAAGGAATTGATGGCATTACTTAAAGGGGTTGGCAACATAAATAAGTGTGTAAGTAGGAAATTGTTCAACTTAATATCATGTGTGCAGGGTAATATTTTGCATGTACTTTCCTATTATGAGCAATAGTGCTAATTTGAATGACATAAATAAATATTTTTGGCCAATATTTTGTCTCACGCAAGTCTCATTGATTTTATCGTTTCTCTTCTCTTAACTTGATGTGCCTGCCCTTTCTAAATCTAAGTGGTCCACTAAAGAGAATTTATGAACCTGACCCTTGGGTTCAAAATGCAATTTTAGTAAGTTCTTAGTAATCTTTATGGAAAGCATTGAATTCAACACGCATCATACTAGTTGCATTAAAAAATCTAGGGATTTTTACATACATAACACTTAAAACTACTAAAAATACCTATTCAACACCTAAAATAAAATATTTACTTATATACCACCTATTTCTCATTCTAAACATTAGAGATAATACTCCGTTAGGTTCCGTCAAACCCCTCTCCTCGAACCCACTCGATTTTCCCTCGTGAAAGCTTCGGCGAAGCTTCGTCGCCTCTTCTTCTCTCGAGCAGGTACGAATCCCGGCTCTCCTTCGTTGCCTCTTCTTCTCTTGACCACGGTTTATCGCGTGCCCTAGGTAAAAAATGCGGGCTAGTCGCCTGCTCTATGCCGCCTCCGAAATTCTATTACACAGCTAATATAGGAGTCTTTCCAAACGGAAGCCTCCAAAACCACATGCAATGCTTAGCAAATAATGGAAATTTTTTTCACCAATGCTTACAGATTTTTATTCATGCTACTCTTTTTTTTTAAACTTATTTAATATTTCCATGCCCAGAAATGAGTTTGATTAATTTTTTGATTTTTTTTCACCAAGGCTTACTGATTTTTATTAATGATACTCATTTTGTTTAACTCATTTATTATTTCTATGTACAGAAATGAGTTCAATTAATTTTTGCTACATTGTCCTGAAATTCGGTGGATATTGGAGTGAGGTGCAAGGTCAAACTCGAATGATGTATATAGGTGGAAGTCAGAAAACCTTAAAGCTTCAAAGAGATGAAATCAGTTTGTTGTTGCTAAAAGAACGAGTTAAAGCACTTTGTCATTGGATACGGGGACAATCGTTCGACTTACACTATCATGTCATTGAAACTTCACCTAAGAATTACATGTTGGTTGTAAGAGACTCATATTTAGTTGACATGCTGAGCAGTTCCTATGAAAGAAATAGATTTGAGATAGCGGTTGCAATGAAACATTACGAGGTAGATATGTCCCAATCACATAACATTCAAACTGAATTAAACAACCAATCAAATGAAATGTATCAGTACAGCTCGAATATTGGAGACTATAATAATATTATAGTAGATGATGTGTGTGATGATCTTTTTGTACCCCAAATTGATGAGGCAAATAGTCTATTTGTTGGTTCGCGGTTTGAGGATTCCCAAAGTTTCAAGCAAGCTGTTAGGTCGGCTGCAATTTTAAAGAATTATGCTATTAAGGTAAAGGCTAGTGACAAATCCAGAGTGATTGTTACTTGCGCGTATAGAGATTGTCCTTGGAGAATACGTGCTTCATTGTGTCATGATGGACACTCCTTCGAAGTCAGGAAAATTGAATCAACTCATTTATGCCCTGGGGTCAATAGAGCAGGAAACAAGCAAGCAACTACTAGTTGGGTTGCTCATGAAATCATGGACATTGTAAAGAGAAATCCTGATATCACACCCAAAGATATTAGCAATAATTTGGAGGCTACTTATGGATTATCCTTACCATATATGAAAATTTGGCGATCCAGAGAGTTAGCAAGAGATGTCATGTTTGGATATGTCAATGTTAACTATATGTGGGTTCCTACGCTGCGATCTGAATTACTCAACAGAAATCTTGGCTCTCACATTACTTAAATGTGTGATATCAAAAGCAATGCATTCAAGCGATTCTTTGTTTCTTTCAAAGTGTGTATTGAAGGTTTCATTAATGGATGTAGACATTTAATTGGAGTAGACGCATGTCACCTCAAATCAAAGTATCTTGGCGTACTGTTTTCTGCAAATTGTTTGGGTGGAAATAATGGGCTCTACACAATAGCATATGCCGTTGCAGAATCAAAATCTAAGAAATCTTGGGAATGGTTTATGAGGAACTTGTTGGATAACTTGGGTTGTGATATAGAACATTAGCCTTTATTTCCGACATGGAAAAGGGCCTTAGTGAAGCTATAAAACTTATTTTTCCAAATGCCGAGCACAGAGTTTGCATGAAACACCTGTGGAAAAATATTAAAAAATACTTTCGTTGTGAGGATGGCAACAAGCTCCAAAATTTGGTTTGGACAGCCGCAAATAGTTACAACCTACATGACTTGCACAAGAAAATGGAGGAGATCTTCAAAATTAGTCCACAAGTGCACTCTTACTTGAATTCATTGGCATGCAAGTGGTCTAAGGCGACGTTCTCTTTGCACATTAAAAAACACTACAATACGAATAATATGTCTGAATCCTTTAACGCATGGGTCTAAGATGCGAGAAGTAAACCTGTTGTTGATTTGATTGATATGATAAGAGTTAAGCTTATGGAACAATGCTTGCAAATAAAGATAATTTCTGCATCCTAGAGAAGTCAACTTGTTCCTCATGTGGAAGAGTATATTAGAGATATCACAACAAGGAAAGTTCATTTTATCATTCGCCAATCGACGTCAAGTAGAGCTGAAGGTGAAGGTATTCATGAAAGGCATGAGGTGGACATAGAAATGAAATTTTGTAGCTGTGGATTCTGGCAATTAAGTGGTCTACCATGCATACATAGTGCAGCATTTATTGGAACAACACAACACATATTATGGCATACATATGTTGATGATCACCACTATCTGCAGAGGTATTTGATAGGTACCACTTGAGTATTTCAAGTGATTCCTATCGGATCTAAGCCAAATCGCAACAAATCCACTGTTTTCTATGAGAAAACAGCCACCAAACACAAAAACAGTGGAAAAATCTGAGAGAACTCGTAGGGAAAATAGGAAAAAACAATAGCAAACGATTGGATTTCACTAGTCGATGCAAAAGACAAGAAAGATACAAGTTTCCTTCGATTCGAGAGGAAGGAATAACTCTCCAAATCTCTAGCCGTAGCCTAGAGCCCAAAAGAAAAACTAGCTCTCTCCC